GTTCAAAGGGGGACTGGGAGAGAAAAAGAGGAAAAAAAAATTTCTGTCCAAAGAAAGGTCCTGTTCCCTTCAAGTAGGAGTAGCCCACAGAAGCTGCGCCACAGAAAAGTCAGGGTGTGACTGCAGCAGGAATCAGTACAAGGAATAAACTGAGCCATCAGTACTGGAATGAGCAACTGAGCCTTTTCTTTTGGCTCTTCAGCAGCTCTGGTGCTGGCAGTGAGGGGAAGGGAGCCATCCCCACACAAAGGTGTGAAGGCCAGAGCAGAGCCATGGCTGCAGTGAATGCTGGCAGCAGCAATTACAGCCCTGGCTGTCCTGGTGGGCACCCAGGAAAGAGCAGTGCAGAGGGGGAAGCTGTCCCTTTACAATTTTGCCCCAATTTGGCACAATCTTAGGTTATTTTGTGTGAAAAATGCATATTTTATGATTGGCTTTTTGCAAATATTAAAATGAATATTGCATGTGTTGGGTTAGAAAGTAATGCTGTATTAATTCTCTTAAGCAGTGTGTTAAATATAGTTTTAGGTTATAACAAAATTTTAAAATAGAAACTATGCTATGTAGGGTACTTTTTTTCTAAAGGAAGGACTTGCACTGAGATAGCAGCCACAGGACACCTACATCTTTCAGAGAAAGAGAATTTATTGCCCCATTATCGGGAGAAAGGAACTTCTTCTCACCTCGCTCGGGCGGGATGATGCTGTTAGGATTATGAGGAAGAAGTTGACACTGGCCAGACAGAATCCTGTGTTTGAATGGAATTTATGCATCATGTATGAGATGTATGAATATGCAACGGGCTATTGTTCTTAAGGGTTAATCCTTTGTTAGCAGGGGTCCTTTTTCGGGCTCGTGATGCCCAGAAAAAGGTACCCGGACATCCGTAGCTCTTTGTTTTTATTGTCTCATATTGTCTTAATTCAATTTGTCCAAATTGTTATTACTCTAATTGTGTTACTATTTTTATAACCATTTTATTACTATTAAACTTTTAAATTTTTTAAAAACAAGTGATTGGTGTTTTCACGTTTTGCAAGCTTCCCTGTTCTGACAGGTTTGACATTACCTATACTTTGTATGACATTATGGCTGACCCAAAACCTCTGATTATGGGCTAGCAACGTTTTCTGCACCCATGGAACAAAGAGAAAATCCCTTTGGAGCACCCAAAAGGTGATTTGTGAGGGTTCAGGGCAAAAAAGCAAACTGAGGGCAGCAGCAATTTCAGCGTGGATTTGTTTTCCTTCCAAGAGAAGGGTGGCTGTCCCCAGGAAGGAGTGAGGCTGTGGCTGCTGCAGGGATCATAGCTGACATGATAAATGAGGGCTGGTGCTCAGCAAGCAATTTAAAGGACACACTTTTACAGGGTGCAAAACCACAGCTAAATTATCCTTCTGGCTACATAGGGAAAACCCCAAACAAGGAGCCAAGTCCTCTGACACGTGCAGTTAACCCTTCCATTGCCAGATAGGAAAGGCACCTCCTCAGGATGATTCTTCAGATTGTGGGGAAGAGGTGCTGCTCACAGGCCTTGGAGCACATCCCCCAGAGCCTGTGGGTTCCTGGAGGCTTCAGCAGCTGTGACAGCATTAATAGATCTTGGGAAACCTGACAAATCACCAGACATTGTCCATGGATCACCTTGGGGACAGGCAGGGAGTAAAACGTGGTCTTTGGTGCAGTCCAGCAGAGCAAACATACTCAATGCCCTGCAGCTCTTTTGTCTTTTCTTCCTCCTCCAAGAAGGAAAACAAGAAAGGGGAAGATGGATTTCCCCTTTGTTGGTTGTTTCACTGGTAAACCTGGGAAATAAATGCAAGAAATTATCAGTGCCACAGCTGCTCCACATCAAGAAAGCACCTATGGCAGTGTCCCCACCTCAGTTACAGCCTATTTCACTATTCAGTTTATTAAACATCTACATTAATAATGTTATGTACCTTTAAAACATAAAATAAAGTGGATATAAGACAAAGCCAAATTCTTGCATCTGTAGGACTTGAGGTGTAAGTGGGCATAGATCACCCCCTGAATATCTAGGGGTGATAGGGTTAAGGGCCTTAACTTTACTTTTTTCCCCTGTCTTTTTCAAGTTCATCCGTTTACCAGTATTTTATTCCCAAAGCTCTTTCAGAGCTCCATGATGAATGTCAGATATTGCAATTACTGGCTCACTGGGCAGAGAGTGGTTCTATGGGAAGGTAATTGGCTATTTTTCCTGGCATGAATAATATTCACAATAATAGCCTCCCTCTCCATGGCTCTGAGAGCAGTTCTGCTGTGTGCTTTTTTTCGCTGCAATGGGAACAGATACACTTTATGGCCCAGGCCAGGCTGGGTCAATAATAAAGGGAAGGGGAGGCAAAATTCCTGCTCCATGTAGAGCAGCAGGAAAGATTTTAGTCATCTTACACCAAACATAGAAGTGCTGTGGGTTCCATCCTGTGATGGCTTTTCTCTTCTAGCCATTCATGACAAGTCCCAGAGGGAAATTTGGGGTGATGCCAATGTCTGAGTGCAGCCAGTCCCCTCATAAGGCAACCTCACTGCAGGCCTGGGGCAGGGTGGACGTGCAAGAGGGACTTTCTTTACAAAGAAATTGGCCAAGAGGTCCAGCAGAAACAAATGATTTGTTCTTTCTCCAGAAGGGAAGATCAGAGGGGAGCCTCTGATCAACAGGAGCAGCCAGGGACCAGGTCAGGCCTTTCCAGGGCTGTGCGTCCCAGAACAGGCACTGCTCAGCTTCTCTTTCCCACTCTCCTCTCCAAACCAGCACCTTCAGGCAGAGGTTAAGTCCTCCCATCTTTCCTTCTCTAATTACACAATTTACTCCTTTTCTACTGTAATCAGCTCCTATTTATACAGCCCTGAGAGATCACAGGATAATCACCATAGGGAATAATCCTGTCATTTCCCTTGCTCTCTCTGCAGGATACTGAGTCCCTCCAGTACAAGCAAGGAGAGGGGAGGATGCCAAATATCTTCCTCGGGGACTCTAGAAT